CTTTGATCCTCTATAAGAGCTGACAGCTGCTGCAGTGCCCACTGGGCAGGCCAGGGCTCCCCACATCCATGTGCCAAACATGGCTGATGAGCCTGTTCTGCCTGAAATTCTGCAAATCCTGGTTTTCTGGTCGAGTGTCAGGTAGATGGCCAATCCCCTGAATCTCTTCTTGGAAAACTTTCCAGAAATTTTGGGGCGTTGTAGAGCACTGAGATCCCCTGAAAGGGGCTCTGGGCTGGGGTCAACAACCTATCTAGTTTATTGTCCCAGCACACGGCTAAATAGCAAGTGACCTTGGGAGAGAGACCACACTGCCCTTTCTAAGGAGAATTTTTCATGTAGAAAATTTTTCAAGCAGAAAATTCCTAAAATACTTACCTTCCTATAATATTAGTATTTAAAAACTATTCCCTTAATGAATACCAAAGCACTTAAAAACCATAACGCATTATCAAAAGCAAGGGATTGGAAATGGCTTTCATCCATGGAAATGTGATTTGATACCATGACCCTTTCATTCATATTTGAATCTCTTCATAGAGCTAGGAAGGACCCAAGGGTGTACTCTGGATTAATATTACTCTAGTGCTCATCCTAGCAGCTCATTGCGGTCACGAGTAAGCATTTGTAGAAGTCAGTCCTCTATTGCCACCTCCGCTTTCTTACTCTAACCATTCTAACCCCATGGATTACATAGTTTGAGCCTCCTAGTGTGGGCAGAATAGCAGCATGAGTCATTTTAAGTTGCTCCATTGATGTGCACCTGGGGAGGAAAAAGCTGATTTGGTCCAGCTTTTTGTTTTGTACGTGACGATGCTGTAGAGGTCATAGAATACTAGAGATTTCTTCATGCACACACCAAGGTACGTGGGATATGCAGAAGAGCAGAGGCTTGAGCTAAATCACAATCCCAAGAAGGGCCAATGCCTGAACCCTCTTGTGACTTGCAGACATCGACACCAAGAGCAATAATCTCGCTGTCCAAAGGTGTCTCTCTGAGTCTGCAGCTTGCAACCTCTGCCCAACAATCCTTGCCAGAGCAGAAAGTCACCCATTTGCTGGCATGAAACGTCAGTTCTGCCTACCCTCTCGAGGCTCTGAGCTCTCCAAAGATGGTTCAGTCACCTCACGTCTGTGTCTCCTGCTAGAGAAAACCAAGCCAGGAAAAATACTGAGTGGGTGCATGAATGAACGAGCAAGAACATTTGAAGTACTCCAGTAGGAGACTTCGATCTACTCTTTGTGTCATATAATGAGATCGTTTCTATGCTCAACTAGCTCTTCTGCCCTAAATTTTAATTGAGTCAGCATAAAAATAATTTTGATAGTGAGCCAGGGCTGTCCTGATGCTAAACATTAAGTGTACTCACATTAAGAAAGGAAAAGAAAAAGGAATGGGGCTTTTGATTCTCTGCCTAGCTCACAAAAAGCCATCTATGGTGATAATTGTTTATAATAGCTTAATGACATAATTACTCTTGTGTAGGTTGCCCAGAGCAATGAAAACACAGAAGGATCTTAAATACACCCAACTAGGTTTAGAAGAAAGGCTGGCTCCGCTTCTGGTCAGTTGGGTGAGCTTGATTATATGCACATAGTGATAAGCACTATGCTGAAGTAAAACTGATCATAAGTACCTCGGGGAGAGGAGAAGAGGCTTTTGAGATGCAAGTGACCAAGAAAGCATTTTCAGAAGAGCTGTGAACTGAGTAGAAACCCAAATAACTGAAGACACCCTCAACTCAGTCTCCAGATGGGTGCCAAATCCACAAGAGAACACCACTTCTGGAACAGCACAGTGGAGAGTTCAGCACGTCCTCTCCACACAAAAGGACAATACAACTAAAAGAGCTTTAAAAAAGAAAAAAAAGCAACCATTTTAGGACTCTCGAAACTGACTGAAAGCAAATAACAAACTTGAGAAAGCCCCAACATTGTTGATGAAATGGAATAACCATTAGAAAGACATAGATAATTCAAGCTGACTCAAAAGGAACCAGAAAACCTTAACCAGAACTTAATAAGCAATAAATAGAGTTGGTAAAATTGAATTGGTAATTAGAAATTTTCTTACACATAGAATTTCAGGCCCGGATGCATTTGCCTGTAAATTCTGTCCTACCTAGCTCTAGCTACCATCTTGGGGCCCCGTGTGAGTGCGCCTAATCTCAGCTGGTCTACCCAAGACTCCCCTGAGTGCCAGCCCTAGTCCCCTATGCTGTCCCATATCTGCTCTGACAAGATGAAAGAAACTATCATGAAACAGAAAAAACTCGCCAAACCGCAGGCACAAGTGCGCATTGATGGGAAAGGAACTGCTCACAGAAAGAAGACTGTTCATAGAACAGCCACAGCAGATGATTAAAAAAAAATTCAGTTATTAAAGAAGTTAGCAGCACCAGCCAAATAGCTCAGCAGATTAAAACACCTGCAAGCAGGTGCAGGGGCTGCCTTGTTGGCCCTGCTCCCAGGGCACGCTAAAATGGCAATTGAGACTGGGTGGGGTGGCACGCATCTGTAATCCCAGCACTTAAGAGGCTGTAAACAGGTGGATCACTACGAGTCTGATCTAGTAGTGAGACCCTGGACACCCTGTAGACCATTCCCTAAAATAAATAAATAAATAAATAAATAAAGTTAGGGTGAACAGTATCTCTGGTATTGAAGAGGTGAATATGTTTACAAACCAGGGAACAGTTATCCATTTCAACAACCCAAAAGTTCAGGCACCTCTGGCAGCAAACACTTTCGCCATTACAGGCCATGCTAAGACGAAACAACTGATGGAAATGCTACCCAGCCTCTTGAACCAGCTTGGTGCAGACAGTCTGACTAGCTTAAGGAGGCCGGCTGAAGCTCTGCCCAAACAATCTTTGGATGGAAAAGCACCACTTGCTCCTGGAGAAGATGATGACAAGGTTCCAGATCTTGTGGAGAATTTTGATGAAGCTTCTAAGAATGAGACAAACTGAACTAAGTCAGCTTCTGAAAAAATCAAACTTGGAAGAAATTACTGGGAGCTGCTATTTTTATATTATGACTGCTTTTTAAAATTATTTTTGTTTATGGATCTGATAAAATCAAGATCCCTAATATTTTTAAAGTCCAAGCCCCTTGGACACTGCAGCTCTTTTCAGTTTTTGCTTACATACAATTCATTCTTTGCAGACAATTAAGCTGGAGAAGCTTGGGAATAAAGTTTGAAACAGATTATTAAAAAAAAAAAATTCTGTTCCATCTTTAAAGAATAAATAATTCCAATCCTTCAGCAAAATAAAACTTGTCCAGGAAGCAGAGAAGGAGAGAGAGCACCAAGATGATGGAGTGGAAAGCAGCAGAGACAGAGCCTCTCTGAAAATCATCATTCAAATGCTGAAGTACAGCAATGTGAGGAAAGCGAGGAGGAGGGAAGTGGGCCCCCTGGACCCAGGAAGACTCTGAAGTGTGAATTGAAACCCGTAGAGAGATTAAAGAGAGAAACTTCAATGAAGAAGGAGGTAGTCAGTGGCACCTTCTCCCTGAGGTGGGACTCACTGTGCAAGAGGAGACATCCCAGCTTGTGGACACAAGGTGACTGCTGGTGACCCCAAAGTCCTCCATGAAGAGACACAACGGTGGAGGAGAGCATTGGACTCAAAGGACTACACTAGCTGGCAGGGAGGCAGTGAGTGCAGGGGGCTTAGTCATCCAGTCCCACACAAGAAGCAGTTGGTTGGCAGCCATCTTGGGGAGGGACTGACTGAGCTAAGAACTCAGAGCTTCTGCTAGCTCCATCTTGCAGCTTCCCAGGCTCAGGCCCACAGAAGGTGCACTGATAGCTGCAGGCCAAATGAATCTGGTCTCAGACCAGAAGGTGCAGGCTCCCTGAGATAATTCACTGCCCTGCCAAAAAGCTAGTGCTGGCTTGCTGGGATATATCAACATGGATTGAGACACTGTCTCTGGACATTGTCCATGAGTGACAGCAGAAACATGCCTGGAAATGGATGCTTTTCTTTTCCTCACTCTTTCTTGTTTGTTTTGTTGTTGCGCTGGTGGTAGTAGTAAAGATTTGGCTTTTGATTTTTGGTTTTGTTTGATCTTGTTTTATATGAGTCTGCAGATAAAAACAAAATATAGAGGAGCTTAAGAAAATTATGGAAACCATGGATGTTCAGCATAGGAAAGAAATGGAATCCATAAGATAGATTCAAGTAGGTATCCAAGTGAGTAAAAATTCTGTTGAAAGTATCCACAGCAGATTAAGCTAAGGTGAGGAGAGGATCTCAGATGTAGAAGACAGGCTTGTGGTTATTGATCATGAGAAGAAAACTTTCTTAAAAATGCCAAGGAACAAGTGCTGGCCAAATAGCTCATCAGACTAAAGTGCCTGCTTAGGCAGATGCAAGGACTGGGGTTCAATTCCCAGCATGCCACGCTGGCCCTGCCCCTGGGGCACTCTGAGACAGCAACTGAGATGGTGTGGTGGTGCATGCCTGTAATCCCAGTGCCTAGGAGGCTGAAAATAGGAAGATCACTACAAGCCCAATCTGTGTAGTGAGACCCTGTAGAAACTGTAATA